GAACGCCGCAGTCGTTCCGGCAAGACCCGCCCCCGCTGCTCTGCCTTGGCAGCAGGAAGCCATCGCCCTGAGGCAGGGTGGAGGCTGGTGGGGTGAGCTGCATACCCCTGGGCACGTTTGGGGCCCCAGAAGGAAAATATACGTAAATTAGAAGCACGAGGCAATTGTGCGTTGGTTAAGCAAGGCTGTAATGCACCATCAGGCTGCACACACTCGCTTCCCCTGCAGAGCTGGCCAGGTGGTGGGGGACTGTGGGTCAGCTGCCCTGGGCAGCTTGTGTGTTGTCAGAGCTGCCAGCAGCTCCCTGGACACGGCCAGCACCGGCAACTGGTGTGTCCCAGCTGGCGCTGGCCTGCCCCAGGCTCTCTTGCGGGATTCTGTACCCTCCCACAGTGCCTGTGTCCCTTGTGAAGCCTCGAGCTGCCATCGGTCCCCGCTCAGTTCCAGGTGCTGCACCCCAGCTCCCTGCAGGCTCACAGCTCAAGCAGGGGACACGGAGAGGGTCACTGTCCCCCCACCGACCTTGTACTGGCTCATGGTTGTGGATGCCACCCCTGGGGATGGGATAGAGGGTACGCGTACCTAATCACAGCCTTGTTCCCCAAACCGTGCCATCTCTGCAGGCCCAAGAAGGGGGTATGTGGCTGCGGTCCCCAGCCTTGAAGCAGACCGTGGGCTAGCTTTGCTTAATGAGCCAGCTGCATTAATGAATGTTTGACACTGACACAATTGTGCTGCAATTCAAGGCTCTGGTTTTAGCATGTGTAAATCTAATTTGACACTGCCATGCTGCAGGGTGATTTTTTTTTTTTTTTTTTTTTTTTTTTTTTTTCCCCTTCCACTCAACATTATAGAGATGGTAAACAGGTGCCCTTTGGCAGGAGTGACATTTGCATGTGTTGGGGAGGGGGGGGGCGATATATATGTAAAATACCTTTGGCACCTGGTGTTGCAAGCACAGGTAACCCAGCCATGCAGGGGAGGTTTGCACTGCTCAGGCATGGAGAAGCACAAACCCCGGCTCCTTTATAAGCCCGTGAGCTCTTAGTTGTGCCCTTCTAAGTTCATTGTCCACCTTCTGGCAGACAAAGAGTACAGGAAGCTTGTGCTGGTGATCTGTACCACCCGCTCCAACCAGCCCAAGGGGGTGCAGCTGCTGGGGCAATGTGGGG